AAATCAAAATGATGCGTAATTAAGATCGACCGCACAGCTGATGTGGGATTCCCATCTAAGTGATATCCATTTATAAAGTGAACTTTTGCTAGATCCAGAAACTGTATGTACGCATTTTCCAGCAATCTCTGAAGTCCCAATTTCACGGGCACATCAGATATGTCGAAACAGCTACCTACCGACAAACGCGATCCTGGACTCGTTGTGATAGTATCCACCTCAACATTCTTATTACCGCAGAAATATTGCAGGCAGGTGGCTGATGCGCTGAAGGGTGGTTCCGCGGTGGAGCCGGAATCCTTTGAACAAGCTACTGTTTTCTTCTCAGATATTGTTGCTTTCGGTAAACTTTCGGCGAAGTGCACACCATTGCAAGTAACCTCACATTATTTTACTCCAAGTTTGCCAATCGAATGTTTTTCGAAAGTCTCAAGCAAGCAGGCGTGCTTCCAGGGCATGAGTGATAAGCCCAGAAGTTTTGGGAGACAAATGTGGAACCCACGAACGGACCTTTCCAATTCAACATTCGTCTTGATTTAAGCAAAATCAACAAATGTGGTCTTTCATGCTACGAACTGCATCTGAAGAAACGCGAATAAATAATCCTCTGAACATAAGTGCGGCTTCCATCGTGTGCTTGTTCCAAGCAAACGTCTGAAAAATTCAACTACATCGTTAAATGATTTTCCCCCTCATCCTTGTCGATTTGTAGGTCAGCTGCAGTTGCTCGAATGCTTGCTCGCTTCAACTTCTAAGCTAGCTCGAGTCAATTTTAATAGGTTGTTGCCTGCAGTCCAAGAAAATGGCGGCAAGTTTTCTAGCAGCAGCCCAAGTACAACCCAGACTGGAAGGCATCAAGTTGGCCAATGCGACCATGCGTTTTTGCACCAAACTTGAATTAACTGCATGAAGGGTTATTACTTCACATTTACCTCGTGCGCTCACTACCGTAAATCATCGTAAATGTTGCATAAACGAAAATAGCAATTCCCCTTTAGCAGTCGTTCTTTGAAAATAACCTAACTGTTCAATTAGCAATTTTCCCACTAAAAAATTTGAGTACCCCATACACGAGAACCACGCATAATTGAAGGCTGAGTTTGAAATCTTTAAACTGTAAGTGGACAGGGAACATCTTCTTAAAATTTCAGCCTTTCAGCTTTTCTGGTTGCCGAGTTAGCAGTTTTCTCGCCAAAACTTCCACGTGCTCGTACTTTTTTCATTTCCACGTAATTTGAAAATCCCATGTAATTTGAAATCTTCAGCTCACAGATGTATAGAGAATATCTATGCAGAGTTTCAGCTCGCTATCTTCTCTGATTTCCGAGATCGCTTTCCCGTCAAAAAATTTGCATTTTTTTGAGGCGTTCGTACTTGAGACCCAGGCGTACGCGGGTGGTGATATTAAAATAGGAAGGTCGCACACGGTGTAGGTACATACTCCCAAAGTTCCAGTTCTAATTTTTTGGTTCTCGAGTTGAAAATGTGTTACAAAAAGTGCAAACACACAGACAGCCTCTTGCCAGCATGCCTTTTTGCATTTGCATGTATGCAAAAAACACATAAAAAGGTGTCGCGATGAAGTGAAGTGCAGTACGTGATCCCGGTGCTGCGCACTCTTTGTTGTTGGAAATATGGATATAGTCGCAGAGCAGTTGTTCGTTCCGGACTGCCGATGCTTTTGTAGTGGGCCCTGCGAAACGTTGCTAGTTAAGCCGTGCCGCGGCATTTTAAAAGCTACCTGCGCGCAGCTCATCAGTACAACGCACAGTGCATCAGGAATACCGCGGTGGGCTAGAGAAGAGGACACGTACATCTGTCTGTGTTGGAAAGCAACGTTGCAGATTGTGACACTTCTGGGCGACTTGTACGTGGCATATGACTCCATCGTGAACCAGTACGACGTTTACAAGGTTCATCTTTTTCTTCAGAAATATTAATCTTGCATTTCATGTGTCGCTTCTGCTGTAATATTTGTCTTTTAGGTGGAGGCAGTCGGTGATGGATACCTGTGTGTATCAGGTATGCCTCAGAGAAATGGCAATAATCATGCTAAAGAAATTGCCCTCATGGCCTTGGCTTTTATGAAAGATTCTGCGAATTTTCGCATTGCACATCTTCCTAACGAGCGAATCATGTTACGGATTGGAATCCACACAGGTCTGTCACTGCATTCAATTTCTCCTTCCATCTAGTTCCATTTTCACTCCCTCGTACGTTTTTTTTCGAACACCAATTGCCTGTTCCACGGTCTCCCAATGTTTTTCTCTTCAAACAAATCTGTTCATATTGAGCGAACCTCAGTTACTCTTGGCTTTTAGCTGTAATACTGTCAAGTGGAACCTAATTTCAGCTTCGATGTCTTACTGCAAACGAACAAACTTGTGAAGTTTGCAGCTTATAAGTAGGAGCGGACCGTGGAAGCTGATTTCCAGTCTGAATCACAAAAAGTAGAGATCTCACAAAATCCCCGGTTTAAAGTTCCCTTAATTTTCAGATTACGAAATTGAGCTGGACTTGAACCTGAGATCTTAGATCGAGATGGAGGAAGAAATATGATTTGGTTCCACATCTTTGGTCCTCCCGCAAGGCCGTGCACTTTGTTTCCAAAATTATACACAGAAAATGGCTGTGTATAATTTTGGAAACAAAGTGCACGGCGTTCACCACTTAACCACCATGATTTTGAGTGTGTGGCTTTTTCCTTGCGACTGTAGTGATGTTTGATTTGGACCTTAGATCATACACAGGTCAGCAGAGCGAAAGAGGGAGAAAGCTGAAGGTTGATTTTAGATATGCCGCTCTGTAAGCCAGCATTTCGGGAGGGAGAGAGAGAGACAGAGAGGAAGGTTTAAATCCCAAAAACTGCAGTTCCCCGCAGCTTTGTTAAATTCGATGTTGAACTGTCTGGAAACACATACATAAACACATACCACGTGCACACAGACGCAGCGTTTGGCGATGCAAAGGCAAAATGCATTACGCGCGCCCTGGCTTGCAAAACAGATTCATGATCGAGATCAGATGAATTGAATTTCCATAAATTGCAGGAGCAGTAGTTGCTGGAGTAGTTGGCATCACACTGCCTCGATACTGCATCTTTGGCGACACCGTGAACACGGCCTCGCGCATGGAAAGCTCTGGAAAAGGTCTTCTTGATGATGAACATGACTCCTACAGCGATACCAAAAAATACTAATTTAGTAGTTCATATATTAAAAATGCACACACATAGAACAGACAGTGGGCTGTAAGTGCCTGCAGCCCAGGGTCGAAGGGTATCGCTGCGTCCAGCATGTGAGAGCATCTTAGCAACATCACTAACAACGGATATCCAAACTGATAGCTCGAGCACTCTTGATATTCTTGGTATATGCCAAAACCATTTCTTCAACTCAGTGCGGACCTGTTGCAGCTGGCTTCATCCAGCTTTCTTCTGCGACAAACAATATATTGGTGAACGAGATTGGCGGATTCAGGACAGAAAGCAGAGGCGAAGTGATAATTAAGGTTCCGTACAATATAATTAGTCAAACTCAGTACAAACTGCTAGCACGAGTAGCAGCATAGCAACACCGGAGCAATATTTCAGGGTAAAGGGGTCATGGAAACATTTTGGCTACTGGACAGTGACGCGTAATTGGAACTCGCTCGGTCAGCTCGCACAGTGTGGAAGGAATATGTGAACAATACCTGATTCCCAGCCAGCAACAATAAATCTCCTTACCCCTGTGTTTTTACAGAACAAACTCTCCATGTATAAGTTGCGCCAACTAGAAATTGTACATGTTGACTTTCTTGTCCTACCAAAAATGATCGTGTGCGTGTGTGTGTGTGTGTGTGTACGTGTACGTCTGCTCATATGCATAAACTTCAGACAAGAACCTAAAAATTTGTGGACCTATTCGCGGTTGTTCGTAAAGCCAGGAAGTTGTAACTGCGATTGACTCCGACTCTATGTCGGCTACTGAGAAAGTTGAACTTT